AAGGCTGTCCTCATCTTTCATGAGGAAAGACACTCAAGTGATCTGCCAAATGTTAGAGGATAACAGAGCACGCGGATTATAAATTTGGGAAGGTAAGCACAGGTTCTTGGATGGTCTCATTTTTGCCATCACGTGATAAAGGCAGACTCTTAGAGTCGGCTCCACATTTCAGACCCTTGACCCAGGTGGGAGAACAGTTGAACCTACTTCTTGGATGCCAAGGTCATGATATGCCCTTTGTAGCTGAGGATGGTGCAGCCTAAGTACGAATGCTGTTCCTCCCTTTCCTTTCCTCTCTCAGGCCCTGGGTTGTGGTCAGCAAGAACATTAGGACCCCCTTGAGAGTTTATTGCAGAGTGAAGGCTCACAGGAGTTTCAAATGAGGCAGCAGTGGATGGTCTGATACCTGCTTTCAGGGGGCTCTTTCCTTCCCCCAGAACCATTTCCTGTGTGGACATTCTCGCAAGGTGTAGGGAAATTTGCTTCTCAAGAGGGCCATGTCTAACACAGAGCGGCATGTCTATTGTATTAACAGAACTCCTTTTCTTAGTACAGATTTCGGAGATGGCTTGGGGAAAAGGAAGGAGCCTTAGTCTTAGAGTCATAGGAGCTATGTAAGTCCAGGCAGCCTTGACAAGGCCATGTGATGTAGCACAGGCTCTCTGGAGTTTCACTGAGTGGGGTTTGAATGCCAATGTGCCTTAGACCAGAATCTGTTTCACGTCTGGAGCCTGTGGAGCAGGGATAGCCACCTGCAGGATTGTTAGGAGGAATAGATATGATAATGTATGGAGAGTACTTGGGGTGTGGCAGGACTGTTAGTGCATTCAGGTCGCTTTTCTAAGATTATTTCCTCTTGAAGAGTGAAGATGATGCCCTATGATGTTTAGGGTAGTTGAGAGAATAAAATAATATATGCAGTTATGCTACACAAATATAGTATTGAGATTAGAGAAGCCCTTCATAAGGATCTTGGTAACCCATTCCAGATTTTTAGCACTCATCCATTCATCCTTATGTCGAACTAGAATGTTTCCTTCTTTATTACTATCCTTTTTTTTTCCTTGACCTTCCAAGAATGTGAAGTTCATTTGCTTCATGAAAATCTTCATGCCCTGAAAGATATAATCCCTTCACTCCTAGCCTTTAGGTTTGAAAAAACCAATCTTGATTATTACTGGCAATTTTCTTATCTGTAATTACTGGTTTCTTTATTCTAAACTCTAACTTTTCCATTGCTTATGGTGGCCAAAACAGGAAATAATCGAGAATTTCTCAGACTAAAACATGGGGGAAAGATTACTTTCTGTCCCCGGTTCCCCATTAAAATATCTATATCTGTATCTTTATTATAAAAGTAACATCTCTTTATATACATTTTGGAAAAGAGAGAAGGAAAACAGCCCATAATTGCATCAGTACAACTAATAGTTTCATGACTGCACATCTGGCTATTTTTATATACATATTTTATGTATCTTTATAGCTTATATACCTTTGTACATATCTTACATAATCACAGTCATATACAACTATGAATCTTACAGTGTGGTTTATAATGCTGCTTGTCTTTGGTGGCTATCTTGTAGAATTGTAAGGATTCAATGCGCTAAGTGCTTAGCACAGTGTCTGGCATAAAGTTAGTGTCAGTAGGTGGGAGGTAGTTATTGTAGGACATTTCCTGATGGATGCACAGAAGTGGATTTACTGGGTCAGATACTTTTTAGGCTCTTGGTACATGCCACCTGCCACATTGCTTTCTAGAAGCCATTTCAGTTCATAGAACCCTTGGCACTAGTGAGTTTCACTGCTCCTTATCAGCATTTAGAGCTCTCCCAGCACCTCTCCCCCTTTTATTTTTAGATTAGGGAAGCTAATTTAGTAGGTGAAAATGGTACCTCATTGTCTAAGTTTCATTCTTTGATAACTACCAACCTGTCTTATATTTACTAGCAATGTTTCCTCTTGTAAGGTCGATGATCTGTTAAACAATTGGAATCACTTAATGTTTTCTTATTGAATTATGTAGGCTCGTCAGTAAAGATATTAATCCCTTGTCATATGGATTGCAAATATTTTTCCCGACTCTTTCCTTATTTTGGCTATGATTTTTTTTAATTTGCGCACGCGCGCACACACACACACACACACACACACACACACACACACACACAATGCGGTCCATCTCTTCTGTGCCTGAGTCTTGCCAGGTCTGATAGTAGTATCTTGAGTTCAACAGGGGAGACTCCTCCCATAGTTACATGGGCTTCTAATAACATGTGTCTTTTTTTTTTTCTTTTACACATATCTTTTATGGTAAGAGTAAACAGACTCTTCATAGGCCCAGAGAACACGTTTTCCTTGATATAGGGAACTTAAGTAGAGAAGGAAGGAGCTCACTAGACTATCGCTTGGTTTTTATAACAGGTTATAATTTCAGCTCTTCGTGACTGGAATCTTCTACACATTTTCCGTCTTTTCCTCTAGGACTGGTGTTTCTGAAGATACCACTGCAGATACCTATTTGGCAAGTGTGTGTTCTACCAATATGGGCCCTACCCGAGTTCCCTGAAGAACTCCCACTACCACCTACCCTCATCCACCTTCTTCACATGTTTTCTCGCAAGAAGATGCCAGGTCTTCGTGAGATCTGGGGGTTAAGGGCATGGGGCTCTTTGCCTGGATGAAATGCTGGTGAATCTACCTTCTCCTACTACTCTGTTCAACTTCCTTCCCTGCAAGAGAGTGAGCAGTCATCCCTTGCCCCCGGGGAAACCTCGTGTGGATATCCTTAGTAGAGCAGAGTCGGTCTGCGGGTTCCCTTGCCAAGGAGTCCTGTCCTTTCTAATCATCAAGACCTGTACTAAAGGCTCCGAGAGAGCCCAGGCAGCTGATGTGTGAGAGCAGGAGCAGGCCTGCATGGACTTCCTCATCACTGTGGCCATCAATGCACACAAAGGCATTCCACTGGCTTCTGAGTCTAGATCTATAAATATATTTATTATAATATAACAAGAACTTAACAATAAACATATACTATGTACAATACCATTACAGAGAACCCTGTTTTGTATCATTCACAGAAATAGCCAGTGTTGCTCCAGTGTGATAGATGAGGAGAGAAGCGGAATTTCAATGTCGTCTGTGTTGAGTCTCGCTGACCACTAACGCCTCCTTTGGAGGCAGACGCACGCCAACGCTAACATCGGCCCTGCCCCAGGCAGTTAGAGATTTGTGCTCCGGTCCTTGGGTTCACACTTGCACCCTGTTTGACATAAATACTTTAAATGACATACAACGTATGTAGTTTTGTGCTTATTACTTTTTAAAAGAATAAATAATAGTAAAAACTGCATAAACGAAGCTCGGTATCTTGTCCAAGTGGGAGCCACACTTGTAGTGCTAGAAGTTGATGCCCGACATTAGAACTGGAATTTTGTGTCATCAAATACCGAAAGATGGAAAGCACATCCTGTCCTGTCCTTTTCTCCTTAGAAATGGTTTTTATTATGAAATGGCGGCAAGTTGACTTCCCAGATATAAAAATGGCGAATGCGTATTTGGTACCAACTTCAACTAAACAAGCGCAGTGGTGGCGGCTTTCTTCTTGCCCTGGAATGGAAACTGGTCACCGCGTGAGGTTTGAGGGTCTGAGGACTGGCAGGAAGGCCTTTCTCTCATGAGCCACGGTGTGACCTCCCTCCTGGCTCCCCTTTCTCTGGTTAAAATGCTACAGGAGGAGTGATTCTGCTCATGCCCCTCAGGTCGTGGCTGTCATGGCTCGTCTACGAAGGCTGTCCCTATCCTGAGAGCTCTTGTGGCAGGTGCCTTAATATATAGCTATAAATATCAAAAATAGTCTCCTGTGCTTTGTAGACATTTATTCTCCCTCCCTCCCTTCCTCCCTTCCTACCCGGCCTGGGTCCTCAGCTTGACCTCATGGAGGGAGCTGGACTGGTGTCGTGAGCCAGAACTGGTTTCCTTCTAGAACAGAATCTTCTTTGACAATGCCTCCATGAGGCACAGCTCTTAATGGGGCTGTCTGGGAGTTACATTTTTTAAAAAATAATACGGGGGTATTCACCCCCACCCAGGAGAGATCCTCTATTCTGCACGTAGAAAAAATTAGAGCAAATGCCCCACTCTGGCACTACCTGCGAAGAGCTTTGGGAATTCCTGCATTATCCCTCTCATGGCCTCCTCCTTCTCTCAGTACTTAAAAATAGCCTTTTTGTTTATCAAGAAAATGCCTTGGAAATCTAAATAATTCATATCGGACAAGAGAAAGCTAGCACGGTCACCTGTCCTCCAGCAAAAACAAGGTAGAGAAACCCGTGAAGGACAAAGGTTCTCCCAGCTGTCCCTAGGCTGCTCCCTGTGCTGTGGCTCCAGCCACATCTGGCTCTGCACGGGCGGCTGGACTCGTCCTCAGCCCAGCAGGGACCAGCAGGGACCTCCCAGGCCTTGTGCAGCACAGTATTGTCGCTTCTCTTCTCTCGGCCACTGAAAAGTGTAGATTGGTTAAAAACAAAAGTAGGAATCAAAGTGATAAGGACACTTTGATCTTATTCCAAGAGAGCCTGACACCTAATATTGTCATAGGATAACTGATCTATGGTTGTGTAGGGATCAAGCTTGCTCTGCAGGAAGGAAAAATCAGCTTCTCTCTCCCAGTTGAAAAAATATGTGAAACTCTATTGCACCGGGCAGAGTGAGCGCCTCCGTTCAGAGCAAGTGCCTTTGCAGGAGCCCCCCACCAGCCCTCGGCCCAGCTCCTCGGATGGTTGTGGTTCCTGCTGCTCGGAGCGCTATGCCCCCGTTTCCCCCAAAGGCGAGGATGATTTTCTACATTCAATGTAGAGAGTATTCAAAATGTTTAGCGCAGTGATTTCTTCGATTGTGTCTATCGGCCTCTTATTGGTGTTGCTGAACATTGATCACCGTGAGTAGCATCTGCCTCACCCGACTTGTCCAGGCTCGACGTGGGCTTTCTGCCGATGTCAGCCGCTTTGAATATATTTCTTTATCACAACGCAGCCGTGTCTGAACACAGGGCAGGGCATGTGGGGGAGTAGGGTCCACGTGTTGGTCGCGGGCTCATAGGCTTCCATGTTGCCCAGGGCAGGCCCCTCACTGCTAACAATGCCGCCAGTTGCATAAATCTTGCCATCAAGCACCACGGCGCTGTTGGGGAAAGTGGGGGGGGGGCGGGGGGCGGAGAATTAGCCATTCAGCTTCCACCTTGGACCTGGAGATGTATTCTTAATACCCTGTCCTGGTGCAAGCTGCCTCTCCCACCTTGTGCAAGACTCTCTGCCTTGTGACCCAAGCTGGTATAAGAAAAACACCTTTCCTGTAGGGCCCGTCTACAGGATGGGTAGCGTGCTCACACGACCCTCTGTGTTGTGGGTGACACGTACGCTGGGCATCCCAGGACCTGCCAGACGGTCTAAAGACAGCTAGGAGAACAGCCATGATTGTGTACGGCCCTCGAATCAGTTCACCGAGTGTCTGCTGAGCAGCTTGTCTTGTCCACACAGAGACTTCGTACTGCTCAAATCGGGACGAGAACATGCGTCTGCATGATAGCAGACAGGATAATTAGGAGCTAAGCCATAGCTGAACATTGACTACTTGACTGAGAAATTCGCCCTTGCCAAGGCGCTCATAGCCAGAGCTTCCTGCTATGATTGCCTAACGCGAGTGACCCGATGCTGCTGCCCACCCATGACCGCAAGGGCCGGTGCACCCTCTGTAGGGTTGTTACCGTGGCAGCCTGGGCCAGCTTCCTGTAAGAGGCTATGCTGCCTTGGTGCTGTTGCCTCAGTCAGCTGTTCCCATTGTGAGAACACCGCATCCTGTTCCTGTCTGCACGTACTACTGTCTTACTGTGTGGTTCAGCCACCCTGTCACATGTACAGCTGTGTCTGCGTCCCCAGCCCTGCTTTCTCCCTCCTTTCCGCTGCTGGCCATGTGTTCTTGACTGTTCCCTGAAGCTGAACAGATACCCTTTCAAAGTCTCCACCTCTTTCTGAAGTTCTGAGCCTGGGACAGAACATGTCAGTCCAGACATCTTACCTGAAGTTTCCAGCCTTACCCCCTGTGGTTCCTTGCCACCTGGGCCCCTCACATTTCTCCCCTTTGTGGCCCATCTTTACCCTGCTTCTCTTGCAAGACCCAGGTTTAGCTCCTCACAGGCATTAAGTCTTTCTGGGCCCACTTTTGGTCTCAGATGAGGCACAGGCATCCTCCCCATAAGCCGTGCTCAAACTCCAGTTGTCTTTATTTCCGACAGTGTGGTCAGAGTGGCCTTGTGCACTGCCACCATTTGGAGAAAGGCTCGAGAGCTGTCGAATCTCCAAGCTAATAGGAACTTAGCAGTTCTCTCGTCCAACCTCCTGTTTCATAAATAGGAGAACTTCCCTAGAGAGTGGAAGTCACTTGTCCAAGGTCATCTGACACATTAGTTGTCGGTTACAACTTTTCTAGCTTTGCTACACCAGCACTGAGGATTTGGTGATTACCTCTGCATGGGCACAAGATATCTTCGGGAAAGATCTGCTATGGAAATGTTGAAAATGGGGTTTCTGGGACCCCTTTTCATACCTTGTTCCTCTTAGCCCAGGAAAGGATGGGGCTATAAGATTAGGCTCTGCTGTCTCACTGCCCAAGTTAATTAATTTTTCTGGGCCATGGGGCCAGGCAGATTGGGAACCAAGCACACTCTGACGGTGACCCCTCTCTTCCTGTGGGGGGCTGGGCCGTGTGGGTTTCTGCCCAGTCAGCTGTGCCTTGTACAGCTCCCTGGTTCAGAGCATTCCTTGAAAAGCCCCTTGTCCCATGTAGGGAATCGCACGGCTCTGGCCTGGCACCGCCTCCTGTCTGTGATGGATGTGCCAGGTGGTCCTGGGGGAGAGCTGTCTTCATAGCACCCAGGAGGTGTGGCCTCGAGGGACATGGGGCTGGTGCCTGTAGGAAGCCCTCCATTTCTGGCTTTGAGATGGGTCAGCTGGAGCCACAGGGTTGGGCCTGTGGGCCATGGGCTGCCCTTGGGTGCTTCCCATTCTGCCCTGGCACTAACATCCATACCTGCGGTTGGAGGGGGCTGCCTCTCTGGGCCTGGGAATTGCTTTGGTCATCGAATGGCGGGCAATTGCTGTTGTGCTCAAACCTCTCCCGTCGTCTCTCCCTCCCTGCCCTCCGCCTCCCCAACCCTAGCCGAGTTACTGCCGCCCCTCACCTGCAGAACTGGCGAGAGTGATTCATGTTTGGGCCTGCCTTAATGTTCCCTTTCTCAGGGTCGTAGATGGTGGTGGCTCTGGCATAAGCCCCGCCCAGGATGAAAACGAAGCCATTGAGGGTGACGGCGGGAGCGTACTTGTTGTCTGTGAGAAGAGCAGGGCTGGCAGGTCAGGGCATCTCTTCTTGGCCTCTCCCTCCCCACCCTTTCCTTTGCCAGCAGGCCCTCCAGAGGAAGGGCTCTGGAAGGACTTCCAGTGTCGCTGGTTAACCCCAGGACAAGGCCCGGGGCCAGCAGGCATCTGGCACACGGACTAGCTCACCCTCTGTCCAGGTAGTGGGATCAGCAGCTACACCTGGGCTGGGGGTTTGCCTCCCCCTCCCAGCCCCCAGCCATGGGTCTGCAGCCTTAGCTCGACCTCTGGGCTTAAGATATTGAGACAAATAAAACAGTGAGGTGGGGATGCTGCACTGGCCCCAGACTGAGGAGAAAGCTGGTTCTTACCAATCATTGGGGACTCGATAAAGCTCCATGTGTTGGTCTGTGGAACGTAAGACTGTAGGACGCCTGCGGCTCTGCCTGCCTCGTTCACACCACCAAACACGTAGATCTTGCCGCCACACACTGTGGCTGCTGCGGAGTGCACGGCCTTGGGCAGAGGGGCCACAGCCTCCCATTGATTGGTAATGGTATCGTACCTGTCGAGAGAGGAGAAAAAGAGCCCTGTGTCAAAGATGGGCCTTGCTCAGAGCAGGGGCGACAACCAAGGCAGTGGACATTGCCGGGGAGGGGCACCAGCATTTGCTTCCTGCCCTTGGCATCACTGGCAGAGCCTGAGATCACCTAGGTTCTGGCCCAAACTAGCCCTCTCAGCCTTCCTCCTGAACCCCAGTGGGCTCGCTCTTGCCTCTGTGCAGATTCTGGTCTCCATTCTTCTGCTCCCACAGAGCTCCCCAGCTTCTAGGCCCCTGTATCCCTTTCTATCCAGCTCGTTCCTACCCTTTTGTCTGACGGTTCTGCACTGAGCATCTCCCGTCTACCCAGGCTCTGGGCTGGAAGCTGGGGAAACAGTGGGCTGGACCAGGGAAGGACGAGAGGAGGTGGGAACAGGAGAGGTGACCTGACAGGGTTCAGTCATTAATTGATGTTGCCGTTAAGGAAGGTAGAGTCACCTAGGATGACTCAGGGTCTCTGGCTTGGGAAGTTGGATGGAGGGGGTGCTACCTGGGGGACAGGGAATCGAGGTTGGGGAGTTTGGAGGAGAGTGATGATTTCTGTTTTATTCATGGGGAGTTTAAGGCATCTGTGGGTAACAGACCGGGGATGTGCAGTGGGCCATTGGATATACGGATCTGTGGCCTAGATGTGCAGCCATGGGGTCGCTGTTGGCACAGAGCTGGAAACTGAAGGGAGAGGAGCTTACAGGGGCTGCGTAGGCAAGAGTAAGACTGAGGAACAGAGGGCACTCTGAGGAAATGCTGGCCTCTAAGAGGGGAGCTGAGGGGGTCCCCGGGGAAGTGGCGGCAGCACAGGGGGCACACAGCTCCACGGGTGGGGGGATATGGCAGGAGGTCAAAGAAGTCCCAGACGGGTTCCCGGCGCTCTCGTTGAGAGCTAGTTGTGAGTCACGAAGTGAATGAGAGGGAGGCAGTAGACACGACGGGGAGACTTCTCTTGGATGAAACTTGGCTGGGAAAGGGGCAGAGAAGGTGGGACCTAAGAAGGCATATGGAGCTAAGAGATGGCTTTTGTCGGTGGTATGCTGAGAAGTGTTTAAAAACAAGCTTGCTAGGGGAAAAGAGTCCTGATATGTAAGCACTTGCTGATTTCTGTGATGTAAATCCTCTCATCTTGGCTGATTTCAAGCTACTGATGGCTCATGGCTGAATGTGGCATTGGGAAGAGGACACTGCCAGTCAGAATATCCACCATATACCCATATACAGACACAGTGGACATATCACCTCCAGAGCATAGACAGTGAAAAATATAGTTAAAAAAAAAAAAAAGCAGTGATGAGTTTTGAGTATGGATTTCCTTTGTTTTTAATGTAACTTATTTAGTTCTAAGTTTATATGATTTGATTTTTAATAACACCTGTAGCTAACAACTGGCTTGCAGAATTCCTATAAAGGTAGTAGTCACCTCTTGGGAGCCAGTATGAACGAGCTACGGCATACCACGGGTTTTGTTTTAATTTTAGGGGGAAGGGCTTACTTGTGTTTATGTGCCGACAGGAAGGAGGCCAAATGGATAAGAAGAAGATTAAATATATATGAAAGAGAGGGGAGGGCTGATCAAAGGAGGCCCCTGGTGGGGAGATGCAAGTAGGGTCCAGAGTGGAGCGGGAAGTGGTGTCCGTGTGGGCGGGAGAGAGGAAGGCAAGGATGGCGTGAGCGTCAGTACATATGCAGAAGTGACGGCAGGGACACCAGAGAGTTGTTGATTGAGGGCTCCACCCTCTCTGTGAAGTAGGAGTCAGTGCCGGCAGGAGTATTGGAGTCTGTGGGCTCAGAGCCTTGATCGGGGAGGAGGAGACGAGAACCACACGCTCTTGAGAGCGAGAGAAACCGCTGACAGGACCCTGCAGCATGAAGGACCCAGTATTCGTTGGATGACTTCACTTTGTCATGGGGCCAATCTACTGGACGGTGGGATTTTCTCCACCAGTGTTCAGCCCCCAGGGGTAGGCGTGGAGAAGGGGACGAGTCAGGGCTGAACAGATCTGTGACACGTGTACTACAGGACAAAGTGGCAAAGTAAGAACACGGAGAAGCGATAGAGTGCGAGTACCGGACAAGGCAGGAACAAAAGTGACAGGAAGCAGCTGATGGGGAGAGATTGGGGATGGAGCAGATCAGCCAAGGAACTGGGGTATCTGAGGTCTTCCTGGACAGCTTGGATCTCAGTTCTCGGCGTCTCTGTCAATTGTTCCTAGAGGGCTGGTCTCACCAGCATTCACTCTGGACCTTCCACTTGGTGGCCCATCTACCGCTCACCACATGGCTCTTTCGCGTGTTCCGGACCCAAGGTGGGGCCTCCGCTGTGGGCTGGGTTTTTCCCAGCACACCTTTCCTGGGAAGCACACAGGGCCCACTTTTTCCCAGCAGCCTCCCTGGGACACGGGCCATAACACGGTCACAGCTTAGTGATCCAGAAGATGGCCTCTCTTAGCCGGTGCTCCTGGCTCTGAGACAGGGATGAGGGGACAGGGATGGGACGTCCAGCTCTGTGCCTGGGAAGACTCCGGGTTTGAGAAGCGGCTGAAGTACCTTACAGGGCAGCAGGCGCTGATTCAGTTAAGCCCCAGTCGAATGATATGTGGCTTAATAGGCAATGCAGTAAGTGTCTTTTTGGACAGTGTCAGAAGTTCAGATATCTGTTTTTTAAGCCAATATGGCAGAGATCCAAAGAGCTCCTGCAGAAGAGCTGGGTGACAGTGGAAGATTATGTGGCTGTCTTCAGGCTTTCGGTATAATGGCACATTCCGCCAAATGCGAATTTCCCGAGAGTTTGTTATTCCAGGTGGCTGATTGCCAAGCCACAAGCCCCTCCGTCAGCTCAATCTGTCAGCTTCCTGCTTGAGAAGGATATGCTAATGACATGCAAATGACCCTGTGGAGTGAGGCACTCTGCTATCATTTATCCGGTAACCACAGCTAGTGCAATATATTGCTATGAAGTATTAGACCCAGTTATTTATATAATGATATAATACAGGTTTGTCTATGGCACTGTTGTTTTAATCTATAATTATATAATCTTGCTCTATTCCTGTAATACAGTAATGTAATATAATTATAATGTACCATATATCTCATTCATTATCAATATAAGAGCAATTTGTACCATTAGCGCTTTCTGGGGAACAAAGCACCCTCGTGTCTGTCCCCATTACCCTGACCTTCTTGTCACCCTGAATTCTCATCGCCACCATGTGGCACAGAAATTCCTTGCCCAAAGGGGCTCCAGCTACGTTCCGTTCCTCAGGAAGCAGTGCGCGTCTCCTCTGCCTGTGTCCTCCACCCCATTGGTATGCATACCACCCAGAGGTCTACCAGAGGGCTGAGGAAGGGCTCCGGGCACCCTGTTGTCCTGGGGGGCTCCCCATCTCCTAAAGTTCCCGGGGTGGTTTGCTCACACTGTGCTCGAGCGGGCGGGTATTTCACAGTGGAACGAAGGCCCAGCCCCCAAGGGAAGGCCAGTACAGGCTGCTTCCAGGCCTTGGAGAATTGCTCTTGAGCCCAGGGGGAGCGGAGCCTGTCCCCCCTCTTCTTGCATTTGATCCTTGAACAAATCCCTGTATTTATCAACGAGTATAAGTTTGCAAAATGAGTAATCAGCATCTTAGGAGATTAAAAATAGCTGACAAAAGCAAGACAGGATGACAGGTCTAGCTCAGTTTACTCCTACATAGAAAATGTCTCCTTTTTCATGTGTTTATTATTGGATGACAAACGGTTGGGAGCTGGTGCTTCTGGAAGGCTTGGGACGTGATGGCCGTGCAGTGGGTCCCACTGAAGGCTGTCAGCATCAGGGGTGACCCGGGTTCAACAGCAGTATTAATATCCTCATAACCACACAGGGATTCCCCATTATCTCCAAATCAATATGACAATTAGATGTTGTTACTGAGCCATCTCTGGGCTCCACTTGGGGGAGTTAAAAGCCCACAGTGAATATCCAGAGCTCGTCTCACTCTGAAACTATCTTTGCTGTAACATTTGTCAAGTGTCCAATTAGCCACTGAGGGAAAAAATACAAATTGAGGGGTACGTGAGGGTCCACAGGCAGAAAGCTGCCACACGGGAAGATGTGCATTCTGTGACAGCTGATGACGTGGGCCAAGGGTGGTGGGCAAGCACGTGGGAAGGATGTGGAAGAAGAGCTCTGGGGACCGGAGCTGTGACCTCCTGGGCCGGTCCTTGGGGAGCAGCTCAGTCTGACTTGGGGCTCTCTGGGCACTTTTTTCTCACAGAGCAGGACTGCACTGAGGCCTCCCCTGTTTGCTGCTGACTCATGAGCCTTCCTGAGCTCTTTCTGTGGCTTCTCCCCACAGTGTCCGTCCTCTGCAAGGATGGGCTCCAGCTCAAAGGAAAAGATGGTCTTTGCACCCCGCGAAGTGCCCACCTCCAGCCTACGCCCCTTCTGCCTCCGCCTGATCCCTACACTACGCGTGGCCAGTTTTAAATGGGCCTCAGTGAGGAAGCCAGCCTGGGATTTCCAGCAGAGGGCAGGCTTACACGCATGGCTCTCCGGCCCATTACTTTGTATTCTAGAGAATTCCAGATGGTTGGCCAGACCTGCATGCAGTGACTGTTCCCCGTGTGGCAAGCAGGTTTCCTGGGATGTGTGGGAAAGAGGGAGGAAGGGGCTCCCTGGTGTGGAACCTCCCGCTCGGCAGGGACCTGGAGTCACAGCCACTGACGTGGCACACATTTGGGCCATTGCTTGCAGCTTTGCCCCATGTCTCAGCGCCGCTCTGGGCTGGGACTTCCAGTGCCAGTGCGCCTCCTAGCTGCCCGGTCAGGCCAGCCGCGCCCATCCTGTGCCTTTGCACCACTATGCCTCCAGCTTGTCTGACCCCTGAATGGGACAAGAGTGCCCCATCTCAGCGGCTGGGTCAGCCGTCATCATTCCTGCTTCCCTCTCACCACCCTCGGTCCTCTCCCTTTGCCGTGTTTGAAGAGCCTGGGACTATTGCCCTCTAAATGTCCCGTCTCCAGTCGGCCTCGGCTGGGTTGGTGCCGGGGTGGAGGAGCAAAGTGATTTTAGCTTTCGTGACTGTGGCCTCATTACCTCTCCACGTGGTCCACGTTGCCCGCTACGCCAAGTCCCCCGAGGGTGTAAATCTTCCCATCGTAGACAAGGCTGTTGTGCCGGCAGCGGGGGACCGTCATTCTGGAGACGAGGTTCCAGTTATCGAGCAGGGACATGTAGCACCAGACATCGGCCAGCGTCACCCCTGATTCCATCCCACCTGTGAGCAGTACGGGAGGTCCAGAGAGCGGGCAGGGAGTGAGGCGGGGCCCACGGCCAGGCAGGCCCGGCCCCCGGGGCAGGAAGAGAAAACTTCACCTGCAAAGTAGAGGCTTCCGGGCCTCAGCTTTCCTTAGCCCTGGTGTGGGGAGGGGAGCCCTTAGGAAGTCCCTGCCTGGTCCCCAAGCCAGCCCTGGGGGGGCCTCACCTGAGAGGTAGATGTTGTCCCCGGCACTCACTACGCTGAAGAACTCTCGGTCATAGAAGGGCAGTGAGGCGAGGGGGTACCACTTGTTGTTCTGTGGGTTCCAGCAGGTGACGGCCACCAGTGAGCGCTGGGTCATCCCCACCATCTGACGGCCCCCAACCAAGACGATGACCTCAGCCACACCTGCAGGGATACAGATGCACGGCCTTTGGACACATCCCCACGCTGTTAGCCTCTGCGCCTGGTGCCTCTGGAGGGGACCACCCAGAGTGGGGCTGACCCTATGGCACCTGCATTTGGGGAGTTCGGGGCATGTCCCTCGGTACCTGCGGAGAGGCGGGGCCGGGTTCGGGGTGTCTGCATCTCCTGGCGGGCGTGGGGCAGCATGTGGTAGCGTTTGGCCTCGTTGACCAGGTCCCGACACGCTTCTGACGACTTGATCAGCTCCTCGTTGTCAACCACATTGAGCAGATAGCTGGGGTGGATGAAGGGGAGGCGGACCACGGCCAGGAGCTCTGCAGCATACTGCAGGGTGGGGGAGACACGGGATCGACCGAGGTTACACGGACGGAGCCACCCCTGCCGAGTTGGGTTGGGGAGACAGGAAGGAGGGGTGTGGTACTGTACAGGGGGCACTCCAGTGTGTATTTGGCTTGAGAGTGTAGACACTGCTCAGCCCAGCCTAGACGGTGAGAGCGGGGGCTCCCACCAGCCGGAGGAGAGGAACGGGGGAGGTGGGTGTGCCGCGGCTGACCCTGGGGCGAACCGTCCGTCTGCCTCTTCGGCACCTCGTTCCTGCCTCCGCCCAGCTCACGGGCGTCTGCTTCACCCCAGGCTGCGGGGGGGGGGGGGGGGGGGGGGGGGGGGGGGGGGGGGGCTGAAACAAGCATCCTGATCCCTGGTGAGGCGCACGTGGGGCAGGAAGTCAAAAACAGGTGCGACGGCCCGGGAAGGCTGACGGTGATGGTGAAGCTTGCCAGTCACCCCCGTCAGAACCTGCGTCTCCCCAGTGCCAACAAACCCCTTCAGCGGCACCTGGCCCCTGGCCCCTCTCACCTGCATTGAAGGCTTTTCGTGGACTGACTCAAATCCCTCTTGCCTGGCAAACCTTTTGCACACTGCTCAGCTTTAGTTTCATCCAACAAATCATTGGTGACCCTCCTTATTGGGGGTGCAAAGCCCAGGAAGACCTGGTGTCTGACTTTCAGGTGTACACAGTAAAATGGGGGGGGGAGGATCCATTACATAAAAGGCACTAGTGGGGCTCCAGGGAGGAGTACAGTTAGGGGGTCTGGGAGTGTGGGAGTGGATGACGCCTGAGCTGGGTGTGGAAGGATCGCAGATTTCTGAGGCCTCAGGCAGAGAGGAGGGAGGACGCCAAAAGCACACACAGAGGCATGGGAAGGGTGGGGAGATCGGCGCACGTGGGGAATTCTCTGGAGCTTATTCTTGTCAGGTGCAAACAGTCTTTGTTGCGGTGGGTGTGGAGGCCCCACCGCAACAAAGTGGGGGCCAGAGCCTGACCACCCCTATGCCTCCCTTGCCAAGGCCCGAGTGGTGTTTCCTGCAGAGTCGATGACGAGCTCACAGGGGCTTTAAACAAAGAAATTAAACGATCCAACGTGTCCTTTAGGAAGACCGCTCGCTCAGGCGGCAGGGTCAGAATGAGTTTGGAGTGGGGAAGACTGGAGCAGGGCAACCGCATGGGAGACGACTGCAGTGATGCTGGTGAGATCTGGGTCCTGAATGGGGAGAGAAAGTCGGTCCTCTCCTGAGGGAGCGAGGAGACGAAGCGACAGCAGCGTGTGGCCCCATGGATGTGGAAGGTGTGGGAGGTATCCAGCCTTCTGTTTTGGGTAATGGGTGGAATGGAAGGAAGCAACACAAGAAGGTGTGTAGCTTTGGGGGTTTACGAATTAGAGGGGCTTGAGGGACATTGGCCACAGGTGTGCAGTAGACACTCGGAGGTCTGGGCTGGAGACAGATTTGGGGGCCTTAGTGCATTGGGCAGTCTCTATTACAGCTGCCCAACCTGACGGCCTTCTCCAGAAATGAATCTTGCCCCCTCCCCATCCGACCAGAGCACGCCCTTCTCCTGGGCTCAGGGGCTGGGCCAGGGAGGAGGGCCCCGTGCTACCGATGCCGATGCCGGCGCCTGGCCCACCCCTCCCTCCCTTGTGTCGCTTCCCGCTCCACACGCAGTGAAGTTCCCTTGTCTTCTATCACTCAGCTGCCTCAGGGTGTTGTGGGCCCTGGCCTCCTGTGCTGCTTTCCAGGTGGACTCTGAGCTCTCCTGAGAACTACCTGTGTCCATACTAACTCCTGGGGGTGGGGGGTGCTCAGATGTGAGAACCAAGGCAGTCCCATTCTGAGCAAGGCCTTCAGCACGTGCTTTCTGGCCCAAAGATCCTGTTGGGTTGTGATCGAATTCTGATTCCGGGGATCCTGGAATCCTTCCGGGGACCTGCCCTCCTCTCCTTCTGCCCTGGACCCTGGCTCCGATTTCCCCAGCTGTCCCCTCCGAGGGACTTCCCTCCTGTGATGTGTGCAGTGGATTCCCATCTCCGGCGTGGTTTCTGTTTGGTCCAGGTGCCCTCCACCCTCTCCATAACCGGAGCATTGGGGGAGGGGTCTCCTCCTGCCTCCTCTCTGAGCTCACAGGGGCCCTGGGGCACCAGCTTTACCCTGTACGGCCCTGCAGCCGCTCGTTGGCTTGAGTCTCCTTCAGGTGGGACACAGCCCTTCCAACCCTCTGGCAGCTGACCCCTCATCTCTCATCCCTCCCTTTGCTTCTCTGCTGCCCACAGTGGCAGTCCCAGCCTCCCCCTGCCCGGGCCTCGGGGCTCCTGTACACCCCGCGGATGGTCTGACCAGGCCGTCCTGCCTCTTCCACCTTCCTGCACCCTTGCTCCAGACGCCATCCCTGCACTATGCCCCTGACACAGGGAGAAGGGGTGGGTGGGGTGGGGGACTACCTGTGCACGGGCCACGGGGTCCTTCTTGATCCACTTGATGACGGTCTCATATACTAGTTCCTCGGCCTTCGTGTTGAGGCTGTCATTGGAGATGTAGGCGATGAAGTCGTCCTTGGAGATGCTGAGGATCTCCTCCTGGGCCGCCACCTCAGGGAAGATCTGCAGCGCAAAGGCCTTGGCCATGTGGTAGAGCTCGCTGCACTGCATGGCCTCAGCCATGGCCAGGACCCCCAGGCAGTTGCTGGCCGTCAGCTGCTTCTCTGGGGGCAAGAGCACAGGACCACTGACCACAGGGCCCTGGAAGGGTGGCCCTCCATTCCTATCGCCTGACACTCTGGATCCCTCTCCAAGTCCATGTCCTTGTGACCTGCCTTTAGCAGCCAGGGTCCCCACAGGACCATTTCCGGTATCCCTGGAGCTGTGGGTGTACCTTCCAGGGTTTCCTCTGCCCTGTCACATGCTTCCTGTCCTGGGACCTCCCTCTGCTCCCGCAGGTGCCAGCAGAAGGACCGAGAGCGTGAGGTATGGAGTGTCAGTACCAGGCTTGGAGGCATCCTCACTGCCTGTGAGCCTTAGAGCTTGGGCCTGGGCTGGGGGCAAGGGCCACGCTGAGGCTTCCAGTGTCTTCTATAACTGTGACAGGCTCCCATTTTAGAATCACACCAGCAGTAACACCACTCATATGCCCATCTGCCACTTCCCATGGGCCTCAGCCTCACCCAACCTGGCCTCTAGACCGGGCATCAGTCTGGCCGGCTCTCCCGAGATCTGGCTACCGGCGATTCTAGCCTGGACGCGTCCAGGTCTGTGCCAAGGCGTGCAGTTATCTGAATTTTCATCTTCAAGCTGCCTTGTGAAATCCAGCTCCACCCTGAGGTGGACACACAGCCTTTCCCTCTGAATCCTCACTGCTTACAAATTTTTTGCTCACCCGTGCTATTCCCTCCAGGTGACCCATGCGCTCCCCACCCCCCAGGCTCACCGAGAAAGGACACACAGACTTTGCAGAAGGTGTGGAACTGGAACTTGCTGGCGGCCTCCAGCAGCGTCTTGGCATTGGCCGAGTCGATGACCAGGGAGCCCGTGTAGACAAACTCCAGGAGCAGTTCAAGGACATCGGCCTGCAGGTTGGACAGGACGAGCTCCAGCTTCTCCCGGCCACACTGGCTGCCATCTTGCACCGACCTAGGCACAGAGACCAGGGTGTTCTTACCTGCCACCCCGCGGCCACAGCGCCGCCTCCTCACAGGGCTAGATCTCCCTGCACGCCTCAGTCACGCCCTTCATTTTAGGACTCAAGGGACACGGCAATGACACGCCTGAACCTAACGACCTTACACGGGATCTGAAAGAGAAGAGTCTGACCAGAGACGCCCAAAAGAACAGAAAACCCTGCTTATCACTACTTGGCATGTCCATGCAAAAAAAGATGCAAATCAAAAAGCATGAGCTGTGGATGGGGACGAGGACCAGGACTGGCCTCAAAGGGAAACAATACGATTCCGCCCCACTGCCGGCTCCGGCTCTGGGCGTCCCGGCCAAACAAGGCCGGCGGGTCCGGGGCCCGGCCGCCTCCAGTGGGAGAGCCCCTGGTGTGACTGAGGCCCCCAACCGGCCGTGAACACAGCCGATCCTGAGCCGTCCCTCGATCGCCCCAAGCTGTCCCGGAACCCTGACTCCAACCCCACCTATTTCCAAAAACATATTGTTTCCTTTTTTAGGCATGGAAAGGAAGCCCTTCATGACATTGCTTTGAAACTGAGGACGAGACAAGATAGACGGACAGAATGGTTAGAGCTGGGGGGGAGGGGAAGGGGAACAACCAAGGACTTCCGCCACAGACAGCCAGCAGCCATGACCTGGGACCTGGCCCGGGGCGGGGCCCTCCTGCCACATGGAACACGGGGTCAGAGGTCAGAGTGGCCTGCGTGTAGAGTGTGCGTCGGGCTTGTGAACTGGGGGGAGCAGGGGAGGGACACAAATATATAAATATGTTTATATCTGGTGTCTACAGAAATACAAAACCATTGCAAAGGCTCCTAAGGCCTGGCAGCCGCGCCCTAAAGCTGCACCTGGAAGGAAACAGATAAGATGAGGCAAAAATAACAGTGCCACAGAAGTGACCAGGAGGAAAGACACCCAGAGCGTTAAGAGGAGGCAGGTTTTTCAGAGATGATTGGCTTGGTGCCCCACCACGGCCACTCTGACCGGTCCTGCTTCCTGCACGGAGCCTGGTCCTGCCCGAGGCCGGGTTCTGCCACGTGGCTGGGAAATGACCTCTGTGTTCCCCCCCAGTCCTGAGGAGGCTGGGGTGAGACTCTCGTGACTGGTCCCTTGGGTGCCCCTGTGGCTGGCAGCCAGGGTGCGGAGGCGTCCGGAAGTAAGCAGGCTAGCCCCAGAGGGAGGCTGACTCCTGTGTGGGCAGGGAGCTAGAGGACCTGCGTGACCCCGCCCCGTCACTGACAGGCCGCCACCTTGCCTCTCTGGCCCTCAGGCTCCTCTTCTGCAAAACAAGAGGGTTGAACTGGATGGCATCTGAAGTCCCATGGAAAGTTTATGTGACAGAGGCTGGGAAACACCTTCCCCGCGAGAGTCTGAAATGCGACCACGAGAGCCACATTCTCTCCAGTTAGGCCTGGCCACCAAGTGCTTTTAAAACACCGATACGATGGGGCAGGGAGCAGATGTAGCTGTGATCCTGCCACCCTTCCCAGGGTGTCACGCTGGGCCCTCCCCACGGAATGGCTCATCTGATGGAGGCCTGCGGAGCCCTGCCTCCAGGCCTGGAGGGAAAGCTGACAGGGAACGGTGCTGGCAGAGGCTCTTCTCAAACCCAGAGACATACACAGTGTGTGTGACTTTTCAAGTGACTTAACACACCGAGTCCTCTGCTGTCGGGATAGACTTTCATGCTTGGGTAACTTTGTTCAGTATAAAACTAGTTCATTATGTGATCGCTTGAAACCACAGAAATCTAACACCCCAGGCCTCAGGGGCCATCTGGTCAACCTCTTACTCAGTCTTTGCTGCCTCTGCCTTCATTCCTACATGCCACTGCCTGGCCCTTCCTCCTCACACCTTTCGTGCTCTGCAGAGGTCCTGCTGGGCCACAGCCAGGGCAGGGCTTATGGGGCCAAAGTCGGGCTGCTCACATTCTCCCAAGGTCCCCAGCCACTGCTGTGCCCACCTCAGGCCAGCCCTCCTGTCCACCCAGGAGACAAGCTCCAGTTCAGTGAAGAGCTGGGGTGGACTTCAGCTGTATACACACACACACACACACACACACACACACACACACACTGAAGTCCATGTGACATGTGACCCTGAGAACCCTCAGCATCACCCTGTGGGGAGGGGTGTTGGGCAGATGGAACGTCAGGGGAGTCTATGGCCCTGAGTGATGAGTCCGATGGGACATGCATGGCTGTGCTTCTGAGAGATGCTTGTCCCACCCAGATTCTGAGCCAGGGAGAGGGTCCTGGGGACAGAGTGGTGCCCACATGGCCAAGGAGTACAGGGACAATGTGAGGAGGCATATGGGGTGTTGACCATGGCAGGTGCCGTCCAGGGTTGGCAAGAACCACTGTCCCTATAATGCATGGCTATAGCTGTTCCTTCAGGCCCCCTGTGGAAAGCAGAGGGCTGCTGGGCAAAGGACATTTGGGGAATGGCTGGAGGCTTTGTTGGCTGGCTGAGCTCAAGATCTATAGGAGGTGAGGCCCCAGGCAGTGAGGCCTTATGTAGCTCATCTGCACATACATGTTCATTGTCCACATGGGTGTTCATGGGGCCAAGGGAAGCCGGTGGTCACTTTCCATTGCTGACCATCAGACTGTCTTGGGACTAGACCTCAGTGATCCCTAGGCCTCTTCCCTATAAGTAGGGATCCCCTGGGAGGCATTGCTTCTTTTGGGTGGCCATTGGTCACCAGTGGGAAGCTGTGTCCTCCACAGATGACCATTCTGTCCCTGTCCTAAGCTGGCTCTTGGGGTCCAAGTCTCCTGCTCCACTCAGCCACATGGAGTACTGAAAGCTGCTGGGTAGTCTGGGTCATGACATGGCCTTGGAAGGAGATGGGGCAGGGCAGGAGTGAGCAGTGGTAGCCTTGTCAGGTTGGGCCACGAACCTAACACTGGGGGTGGGAGTGTGGGGCAGGTTGGTGTTGCCCCGTCCACACAGGACCCATGGGTTCTGCCAGAAGACCCAAACTCCCTGGGCTCACCTTCTCCTCAGGTATGGGACACACCCTCTGCTTGGCAGGCCTGGATCTGTGGACATGCCAGGAATGCCTCATCCCAAATAGGAGATGGTTTGAGATCCCACCATCAGCAATTTGCTCTCCTGGATAAGAACTGCCCTCCCTAGATTTTAGGACACTCCTTCGTTACTCCTCACACACCTCAGTGATCATATGCTTTCATTTTGCAACTTAGATCTAGAATGGGAGGGACACATGGGGCAGTGGTGGGTGGGGGATGTCATGGAGCAGGTGGTGACTGAGGATGGCATCCTGACTGCTCAGGAGGATGACCCCGCTCCTCCAATGTGATTTCCATCCCACTGCATGCATAGGAGCTCAGGCATGTTCCTGCTCCAGGGCACAGACACGGCACACTCTAGTCTCACTGGGTGAGCCCTGGCCCACCCATGGTGATTTGGCGACGGGTCTGACTTAAATTTTTCTGCTGGCCTTCGAGATCTGTGAATCTCTTGTCTTATTATGTGGTCTTCCGGCCACACCTCTCTGTTCTGCCAGGAAGGGGGGCAGACTGCCACCCACAAATGCCCAACCCCACAGGGAAGGAGGTGAAAGGCAGCATATGGCCTGACTATTGTGTTAAAGTCTGTTGGGCTCCCCTACATCTGGACTCTATGCCACTCAGTTAGGTAGATCCCTTTAGCTTCCCCTGGTGAGAAAGATGGAGAAGCCCAGAGCCTATACATGGGGCTTGTGAAAAGCACCTTGGACAAATCAATGTCGCCATCTGTTTTTATTTAATATGAAAAGAGAATATAGTTCGAATGAGTCATTGGCTCCAACAGACTTTGTGAGATGAGGGTTTCAGCTAGAAGGCAGAATGCCAGGTCTCTGTCCTATTTGGTATGATGAGGGGGCAAGTTTCTCTGGGGCTTGACATTTTCTCCCACACCCAGGCTTGTGGTCGTGTTCAGAAGTACTGGCAGGGAGGGCATTCCCTCTGCTATCTCTAAGGACAGCCCCCTGTCCTCTGTGATGGGGCCCACAGCCGACCCGGCAAAGGGGTGCAGCCAATGCCTCTCATGGCACAAGTGGACCCTGAGGGCTCCTCGGCTCCTGGGGATAAGTGAAGGGACTTCTTTGTAGGCTCCCCCAAAAGTCCAGGGCAGACCCAGGTCTTGCTCAGCAGGGCTGAGAAGCGACTCTGGACTTGGGAGATTGCAACCACACCACAGAACCCCGCTAGCTCTAGTCGGCTCAAAGTCCCTGAAACCCGGGGCTCAGCCCACTCAGTCCTGCTGGGGTCCCCCACCAGCCTGGGTGCAGGAGAGGTGTGGTGGTCACGCAGCACTCTATCCCTCACATTATCCAAAGGCAAAGCCGCAGCTCCCCTTCCTGTCGTGTTTTCACCCCTGATTGTCGCAGGGACTCAGATGGGGCAAAAAAGGGATGGCGAGTCCGGCCTGGGGGTCTCAGCACAAGCTTTGCTCCGAGCTTCCCGATGGCCTCCCGGAGTCTCCTCCGGTGCTCCTCACTCCAGAGGATACGGCCTCCCCTTGGATGAGGGCAAGTGTCTGCAACTTAGGTACCTGTTTTAGGTGGGGATTATGTCTTCTCTTGGGCAGATCTGATGTCCAGTTTACAAGTGTTTCTAGCACACACACAAGTGTACACACACGCGCACACACACACACATGCACACACACAGGCTCTCCATCCTTTTTCCTTGCCCATCTGACTACACGGTCAACCCTAAGTTTCACTTTCTTTCCTTATAGACTTCATGCACAAATAAAGACTACATTTTTGTTCTTCTCCAGGTTAGCGAACGGGTGGTAAAAGCATGAGCTTTGGAGTCAGACCTTGATTCCAATCCCGGACCTGCTTGCTTACTTAAAATTCTCTGGGCCTCAATTTCTTCATCTGTAAAATGGGGATACTAATGGCACCTGCTTCTCAGGGTTAGTGGGAGGATTTTCAGGATGGCATTAGACATTTCTACAAGTCTCCTTCTGGGCTGGGTCTTGTCCTCATCAGAGGAAAAAGACAGGAGTTTGAATCTCAGTCAGGGAAGACTAGTGGAAAGAAGCCGTTGCAGCCACACTAAAGGTACGTGCACATGTGAGGAAAGAACACATGGACAAAGGTGGGGAGTCGGCCTGGGGCCTGGAGAACGGGGGCTCCGGGCAGGACATCTGCCTGGCCCCGGGGCTCGCGGGCAGCTGAGCTGGTCAGGAGAGGACACTGAGATCCTGCTCTCCCGCTCACCGATTGTTATCCTTATGAAACACAGATCTGACCGTGGCCCCGCAAAGCCTTGCGAGCCGGCTCCACCTCCAGCACCGGCCTCACTCTCTCCCTCCTCTGCCAGCAGTGGCTCTGTCCTACTCACCAGCCCGGCCAATTCCCTTCTTTGTTTAAAACCCACACCAGATGCCACCACTCCCTGGGGGCTGTCCCTGAACACCTCTTCTACCACAGTTAGGTGCTTTGCCTGTGAGCCGCTAAACCCCATTTGTGTGCTCAGTCTGCTCTCCCGTTCACACTTCTTTGCAGGCTCCCCCCGGCAGGCTGTGGGCCTCCTCGAGGCAGAGACTCATCTCATCTAGCGTTTCCGGCCAGACCTGGCACCCAGGAAGGGCTCCTGCTTGTTAGCTGAGGGAAAAGTACCGAATGACTTGGTTTCCCTAAGGTCTGTCCTGTGGCCCAGGGTGAGGCTGTCCACACCAGAGTCGAGGCTGGGGGCTGGGATGGTGTCCTTGCTGGGGCTGGAGTGGTGAATGCATTACCGGCCCCAGGACGGAGGTGGAAAGGAGTCCAGCCTGAGCCTCTGGGTCTGCGGGTCCTGGGACAGCCACCCGCCCCTGACAGTGCTCACTGAGACCCTCATGAAGGTAAGGACCGGGACACCACGTTCCACAAACAGACTGTGCCCACTCCCTCTGTTTCTGTAGTGCAGACGCCCGAGAGGGAAGCACCTGCTTCGGGCTCAGTGGGCAGGGCCCCATTTCTCTCGCTGAGCCGTCCCGGCTGATATACACCAGGTCTCCAGGGTCACAGACTGAAATGGCCTGGTGACGTCAACCGTCCCCTGACCGCGAGAGCATGAGCTTCTCCAGAATTTTACACGGCCAGAAAGGAAATCGTCTTTCCGTAGCGAGTCCGCTTTCCTCCCCACAAGAGGACTCTTTTTGCAGCCATGGGCAGAAATGGTGATGTGCACCAAGGTCAAGTTGAGGGAAGTAAAAGGTTGAAATGGCTGCAAATTAGCATTGTGACCTTCAACCACAGGGGGTCTCTGGGCTTGGCTTCGGCCTTCCCTCCTCCCTGAGTGCCCTCCTGTATGCCGAAGGAGTCTCCCCGGGCCTCAACCTGTCTGGATTCAGACCCTTTTCTGTGGCTGCCTACCAGATGCGTCTACTTGGACGTCCTTCATCACCCCCTCAGCTCTGCCCTGACATTGGTCCATGGACCCACCTTCCACCCTGTGATCTCACCATTCTCACGTCCTAGGGCTTGCACACGGGAAGCCTTTGCAGGCCCGGCCATGCCCACCCCCTTACCGCCACCTTGGGATGTCAGAGCTGGAAGGAAACCTGGATGTCATTTGAACCAACCTCCTGTTTTACAGATGAGAAATCTCGAGGCCCGAGAGAGAGGACGTGACCTGCCTGGGGTCATAGGACAAGTGGCAGAGTCAGGTGTACAACCCAGGTCTCCTAGCTCCCAGTGGGGTGCCCTCTCCCTTCCAGTGACTGCCTCTTGGCTCTAGCACCCATCAGTTCCGCTTAGGGTCACCGAGGCACATCCCACAGTTCTTTCATCTTCAAGTGAGCATCCCCTGCTCCTGATGACCCCCACATCCTCAGACCAAGCCCAGGGCCCTAGCCCCAGGGGTCAGGGCTTGCCTGCCTATCTCACCCCAGCTCACGCCCATCTCTGCGAAGGCTATATTCCCCTCCACACTGCTCATGACAGTCTCTGTCCCAGCTTTTCATTTCAGGAACCCATCCCCTGTCTGGAGCATTCTAGAACACTCTAGAACATTCCTTGTATTCCAGACCATTCCAAGCAAACCACCCCTTGCCTGGAATGTTCTTCCTCTTTCTTTTTGGCCTAAGAAGGCTTCACTACTTTGGGTTCCCACCTAGTGGTGTCCTCTTCTCAGCTGTGTACAAGTTTGGCTTTGCATGTAAGGTCTCTGAAGACATTCAAATGGCTCTTGCGCTCCTCTTGCCCGCATCATTCTAGCCCAGGGCTGGGCCATCGCTTAGTACCAACCTGCCCCTGCATCCTGCCCGCTCTGTGCTCTCCAGCTGGTCTGTAGCAGGGACCAAGGCCCTAGGATGCTGGTCACTGCCAGTACCAGAATTTGCCAAGAATGGCAGCACAAAGACCTCCCTTGGCCTGAAGAAGCCACTGAACGTGCCCCTTTACCCCAGAGCTCATGCCCCTGACCCCTGTGCTTGGATAGCGAGAACCCAAGCACCGGGGGCGGGAGACCCAAGCTGTCCATGAGACTGGAAGTCACAAAGAGCCTGCCCCGTCCTGCATGGCTGGGGCCAGTGTGGCTGGGCGGGGCTTGCACGCCGGGCAGCTCAGCTCTAAGTGAAAGGACACAACAGATTGGAAAGGAGGTGCCAGCCAGTGTGCCATCCTGAAACAAAACACAGTCACTCTGGGGTTAGTTGGCAAGTCCAAACACAGCATTGGGAAGCAAGCAGAGGTCCTGTCCTCTCACTCTGAGCCCAGTCCCGGCTCAGCGTCCGCCCCGGAGAGGCTGCAAGGCAAAATGAGCAGCGGCATTAATCTGCTGATGGGTGAGAGAGACAGGAGCGTTACCCTGGGCCGGCCCCCTCGGCTGCTCTCCCTCACTAAGGAGCTAGAAGGTGGCCCCTGACTCGTTTGCGAGGGTATGAAGCAGACAAATTAAAAAAATCAACAAAATGGAAGAAAAAAAAAAAAAAGATGCTCATGCACCATTAAAACTCATTCAGGTAGAAAGAGCCGGGGCAGAGGGCAGAGGGCAGAGGGCAGGGGAGCAAAGGCTGAGAGAGACCGTGTTTAGGACACACGTGGTCTGTGCTCAGACAACGCCGGTTTAGGCTCAGTGTACAAGTATCAAGGCATGCAGCGTGAATGAGGATTTGGCTACAAGTCTCTTCTCCCCGACTCGAGCTGTGGAAAACGGCACCTTGTGCTCCTCAGCGGGGGACGGTCTGGTCGATGTGCTTTCCTGGCGTTAAGTTCACTATCGACAGCAGTGATGACGGTGCCTGGGACCCCGTGCTCGACCAGTGGGGACAGTGTGCAGTGGTCCCTTAAAGTGGAGCCTACGTGGAGTCTACAGTCCTCCTAATCTCAGGGAGGGCTTGTGAGCCACTGAGAACTCGGGATCCTCGGGGCAGGGCCGGGGTGTCGTCTACTGCTGACAGTGGCCCCCGGGTGACCAGCAAAGCTGCGTGGGGCAGGCCGGGGGCAGTGGCTGCTCTGAGGCTGTGTGTGAGAGGGCACTCGGGAGGAGGGGGAGGAGGGGGAGAGATGGCTACTGGCTCTGTGACAGGGAGTCACGCTTCAGGAACCTGCAAGAGAGGGGAGGAGAAAAGCGACACAAAAGCGTCCTACAAAGGAACAGACCCGACCACAGCTGGAAGGAAGGCAAACCTTTGAATCAGGTCCTTGAAATACAAGCTGCAGGAAGCTAGAACATTTTGGTGGACTTCAAACTCTCTGCCTTCAACAACAATTTTCAGGTCTGTAAACGCTTTCGCTCTGCGCTGCTGGTTCAATTCCTTCAACATTTCTGCAGAACAGAGAAGACAGACAGGGCCAGGTTCCCATTAAGAGTTTTTTTTTTTTAATTAAAATTTTTTCTTTCAAGAAGTAGAGAAATAGGAAAATACTTGATACTGTTTCTTGGCAAGACTGGCTCAACACTGACAGTCAAAAGAAGTCACAAACGATGCGTAAACAAGCAGCAATTGGGAGGGGCTACATAACCAAAGGAACAACAACTTTCAAAAGCAAAGGAAAAAAAAAAAAAGAAGGAAAGAAAACAAAGAAATAAATAAAAACAAACCGAAACAATACAATACAGAAAAAAAAAAAAAATCAAACCCAGAAATTGAAAGGCTGGGGGAAAAGATTCCCATACTGACAATTGGAAACAGAGAATACATTATCACAGACAACTAAAAACTGTTATAAAACTACAGAACGAGTTCTCCAAATGCCAATGAGTGCTGATGTATCTGATACCAAGTAAAGCATGGCATTGTGATGTAAGATGGGCTGGATATGGTTCAAAGGAATAAAAACCACAAAACCTGCAAAAACAGCATCCTTTATGTTAAACGCTCAAGTCAAGGCATGGGGTGAGCTTCTTAGAGAGGGGCCCCAAGAAGGGAGGGGTGGAATGGGGGCCTGGAGAGCACTTCCTTCCATTGCACACTTCCGGAACTGTTGGGGAAGGCCAGCAAGAGGTAGGACCTGTGTGCGCCTCCTCCCGTTTCCTGGGCTGTTCTCTCGGGGTGCCCACCCTCAGCTGGGGCTTCGGCATCGGGGAGCCTGGCTTACAGCCCCAGCAGGTCCCAAAGTGGCCTCTGGGGCCTTCCCGCCCTGACGCACACCTACCTTTGCCTGGTGTCTTGGCCACCTGGGGTTGGTTCAGAGAGTGTCCCGGGCCTGTGGGCTCCAAACCTGGGGATGTCTCCTAGACCCACCTCAAGGCTCAGCAGGGTAAGGAAGAGAGCCCGATGGCTACCCTGATTAGTTTAGAGAAACTCTTTCCCTTGCAAAAGTTAGGGCCTTCAGACGATCAACACTCCCACTGGCCTTGCCTTGCCTGCCTGCCCCCTGGACCCTCTAGCTGCTGGTTGCCGGACATCAGAGGCCCAGATTCTGGGCCAGAATGACATAGACTGTTGTCAGGAAGGGTTATGTTCTTTGGCAGATGAATACAAGAGGGTGGTCTGCAGAACTGAGCCCTGATTCCAAGTCCCCTACCATCACCCTGAGCCCTCCAGGTCTATGCTGCACCCTGGCTGGTGTTCTGGAATTACTTTCCAAAATGCCCTGCTGCAGACTGACCAGTCATTTCTGTCCACATGGGCCAGCATTGGCTGTCTGTCAAGATGTGCTCCCGAGCCCAGCTCTGTCCCTGACACCTGTATGTCCTTGGACAAGCCTCTGTCTCCACATCTGCAAAATGGGGACAGAGGCTCCCACTCTTTTCCAGAGCCTGGTGAAAATCCCTGAGCTTGAGCTCAGGGGCTTGTGGGCCTTGGTGTCAGGTAGGCCCTTCTTTGTGAGCACGTACCGGGCTCTGGTTCTGCTGAAGACCAAGGCAGACAGTGAGAAAGGGGGTCTAAGTTGTGTGGGCAATGCCGACTCACTGACCACCACCAACCCCACATCAGGCGGAGCTGCAGGGTACCTGCATGGGTGTGTGTGGGCCCTCTGGCTGGGGCCTCTGGAAGGCTCCCGTGGGTGTGCTCAGACCTGGACAAGGGAGACCAGCAGGGCCCGAAGCACTAGGTGGAGGGTGTGCAGGGCACCTGTGGGCAGATTGGGAACAAAGGGACGTGATAGGTCGGCAGGTGGGGTCAGACCTCAAGAACCTTGTGAGAGGGCGGCAGCTCAGTCTCGTGGGCACCAGGGAGCCATGGGATTCTGTTCAGGGGAGGGACGGGCTTAGACCCTGGGTGCCAGACAAATCGTTCTGGCAGCCGTGTTAGAGGCGGGACAGGGAGTACCAGTGGACGCCCAGAGGCAGGTGGGGGCGAGGGGAAGCCTCAGCCAGGCCCCGGGGAGAACCTGAACTCTGCCTCCTATCAGCTGTATGACCCTGGGAACGTGTCTGAAACCTCAGTTTCTACCTTTGTTGAAGGTTAAATGAGCTAGTCCATGGTAAGCTGTTAGCTGTGGGCCTGGCACATAGTAAATGCCCAAGGGGAGGCAGGCATGATGTTTTTGCTGATGGTGGTGATCACTCCATGATCTAAGTGAGAAGTGACAAAAGCCTGAACTACAATGGGGACAGAAGGACAAAGAAAGACAAATATTTAGGCTGTGAAACCTGGGGGGGCGGGGGGGGGTTCAGTGCTGGAGGGGAAGGGAGGCAGCCAGCACGAGGGCCACTTCCAGGCTTCTGGAGGGACACCAGGAAGGGAGGGCATGGTGACTTCAGTTTGGGGTTGGGGTGAGGGCCTGTGGGACACATCTGGGAGAGGTGCAGGCGGCAAGGCTGTGGGACCCGCAGCCCCAGCTTGTTGCTCGCTCAAGGACACGATGGGGAGAACCTGCAGGGTCGGGCGGGCCTGAGGCTGAACTGCTTGCCATGTTCACACATCGGCTCCAAGAAGAGCCACCAACTGAATTCATTCCTGAAACATGAGCCTGGTGGGTGACATCACCTTTTTGAGTGAAGTCGTGTGGGGGTTAGAGAGTTCTGGGCTGGAGTTCTGGGTCCTGGCTCTCATTCCAGCTTTGTCACTAATTGGCTGTGTGACCCTGGGCACATTGCCCCAGCTTTAGGTGCTCAGTTCCCTCAAGCACCTAGAAGCACCTGCTCTTGCCTCCCCGTTGGTTGTCACACTGCTGTGAGTGATGGATGCAGCCATGCGCCTGCTGAGTTAACCATGCCCAGGGGGCCAGGAAAACACAGTGGTTACAAAATACCACGCCTCCTGGGCCCGGAGCATTCTGATTGGTTTTGAAAGCTCTGACTTCAAACCAAGGTCCCAGCAAAGATTACGAGTGCAGCCCCAGAGTGCAGCCCCAGTGCTGGCAGGTACCGCCTGCCACCTCCGGGAATCCTGGACGGATCTGGGAGGTGCTCAGAGATCCAGGTCACCATCGAAATGTAAGCACTTTCTACTCTCACTTTGCGGAAATCTGGATTTAATAGCTGGGCAGGATTACTCAGTTTCAGAAAAAATTTTCAATTTATGAAAGTGCTCACCAGGGGATTCCCTTTCACAGCGGGCCCCCAAGTGCGTTCAAAGTATTGATCAGGCAGTGTGTGCTTATTGCTGCCGGCTGAGTGCCCAGCCAGAGAGAGGATGTTTCAGGACATCATGACCCAGGATCCATGGGAGGAAGCCAGCACCGGCTCCAGGCACAAGCTGCCTTCCCGCCTACCCCGTGTCTCGGCCAAGGACAACCACTTAATGTACGAGGGTCTTGGAAGAATGTGGGGTCCTGGGGAAGCTTTCCGACCAGCAACGCTGTGCCCAGTTTGGACAGTTTGTGGGCACTGGGGCAGAGCCTGGCAGGGGCTGGGCCTTCGGGGTAGACCTTGCAGCACCCCAGCACCCTGCAGAATCTGGCTGCCTCAAGCTTGTGGAGGAAGGGAAGCCTTGACCTCAGGTCCTTCCTTGTTGGCTGATAACAGCGAACTCTTTTCTGGTCTCCTGGGTTTTGGGTGGGATGCCCCAGCTGTGCCTGCAGGACCCCATGCCCTTGCCTGGCCACATAGTGGCTGTGCTGTGCCCTTGGCCTTGGCCCCTCAGTGGGGAACTCCTGGCTTTTCAGATTGCTGGGCATAAAGCACAGGCCCAGGGGACACTGAATCTCCCTGCTGATTCCTCTCTTCTCCACCCTGACTCTTTCACTGCCTAGAAATCTCTGCTGTTGATTCTCTCCTGGCCTCAGGAACACCTGGGTGTCTGAGCCACCACCCTCTTTCACCTGGGTTAGGGCAGCAGCCCCCGAGGATGTCTTGGCTGTTGCCGGCCCTAAGCCCCCTCCACTCAGCAACCTGGCCATCCATCCAGCTTCAATAAAGTCTTCAAGGCCATCTGTGACATGGCCCGCCTCTTCTACTCCTCACTGAAGCTTCCTTGTACCCCAGGCATGTCCCCTGCCAGCCTTCACCCTTCTCGGGGCCCTCTGCCTCGATCTCTCTTCCTCCCTTCTTCTGGCTAATGATCACTTTGACCTGCAATACCAGTTAAGGTGTTACTGTGTCCCAGGTGTCTGCCTCTTTCCCCTCCTTCTCCCACATGCCGCTGCCCTCCGCCCTCCTCCATGCTCCCAAAGCATCCTGTGCTTACTTCTTTAGAGCACATTGTACATTGTAATTATTCATTTACGTGTATGTCTCCCGCACTAGACTGTAACTTATTTATATGTTTATCTTCAACATTTATCATGGGGCCATGGCACAACCATACAGCTTGTGTGGTAGATGGCAAAAATTCTTTGCCTCCCCTCCCATCAAGGGGTGGAGTTCGTCTCCCCACCCTCTGAATTTTTTTGGGCCTTGTGACTTGCTTTGACCAGAGAATGTGGTTGCAAGGACATTATGTGAGTGTGAACCAGAGCCTCAAAAACTTTGCTTGCTTTTGCTCACTCTCTTGGGACCCCTGCCACTACCACATGAACAAGTCTGAGTGAGTCTTTTGGAGGATAAAAGGCCATGTGGAGCAGAGAGGAGCCATTCACACCGGCCAGCTCCCACCAAAATCGGCTGAGCCTCACCTAGATCAGCTGAGCCCAGCCCAAACTGCAGACCAGGATCATAATCTAAATCAATGGTTGTTGTTTTAAGCCACTAAATCTTAGAAGTGTTTGTTACACAGCAAGAGCCAACTGATCCAGAAAGCATGAATAAATGATGGAACTCAAGTGCTCATAAAACTTCTGTGTCAGTTTCTCCTCTACTGGTGGAATTTGAAGCTAATTCTTTTTTTTTTTTTTTAATTGCAGTAAAATTTACCATTGTAACTATTTTAAGTGTACAGGTCGGTAGTGTTAAGCACGTTTATGGTGCTGTGCAGTCAATCTCTAGAATGCTTCATC